CGACGCCCGCCCGCGGACCAGGGAGGAATCGAACCCGCGACCCGCCGGTTCCGGGAGCAGGCGCGCGAACCACGAGACAACTCCCGAGGACCAGTTCGAACAACAAAAGTCGCAAAAAACCTTGAGTTTTTGCACCTCGACCACGCCGATTCCCGCAGAGGGTTGCGCGAGCACCGCAGAAATCGCAAAAAACCATGGGTTTTTGCACCTCGACCACGCCGATCCCCGCAGAGGGTCGCGCGAGCAGGTTAGAAATCGCAAAAAACCATGGGTTTTTGCACCTCGACCACGCCGATCCCCGCAGAGGGTCGCGCGAGCAGGCAGAAATCGCAAAAAAACCATGGGTTTTTGCACCTCGACCACGCCGATCCCCGCAGAGGGTCGCGCGAGCAGGTTAGAAATCGCAAAAAACCATGGGTTTTGCAGAAAATCGCAAAAAACCATGGGTTTTTGCACCTCGACCACGCCGATCCCCGCAGAGGGTCGCGCGAGCATGTTAGAAATCGCAAAAAACCATGGGTTTTTGCACCTCGACCACGCCGATCCCCGCAGAGGGTCGATTTTCGTGTAGTGTCGTCGGCACTACCCCGCCGCCCTAAGAAGAGATTTTAACTCCTCGCAAGTCAATTGCACTTGACTCCTTGCACTTGCAACTTGCACTCGACTCCTTACACTTGCAACTTGCACTTGACTCCATGCACTTGCAACTTGCACTTGACTCCATGCACTTGCAACTTGCACCTGACTCCTTGCACTTGCAACTTGCACTTGACTCCTTGCACTTGCAACTTGCACTTGACTCCATGCGCAGCTCGCAATGACTCTCATGACTCCTTGCAATGACTCCTTGCAATGACTCTTGCAATGACTCCTTGCAATGACTCCTTGCAATGACTCCTTGCAATGACTCCTTGCAATGACTCCTTGCAATGACTCCTTGCAATGACTCCTTGCAATGACTCCTTGCAATGACTCCTTGCAATGACTCCTTGCAATGACTCCTTGCAATGACTCCTTGCAATGACTCCTTGCAATGACTCCTTGCAATGACTCCTTGACAATGACTCCTTGCAATGACTCCTTGCAATGACTCCTTGCAATGACTCCTTGCAATGACTCCTTGCAATGACTCCTTGCAATGACTCCTTGCAATGACTCCTTGCAATGACTCCTTGCAATGACTTTCATGATGATGATTCCTTGCAATGACACCTTGTAATGACTCTCATGAGAACAACTCAAGTGAACCCAGCAGAAGAACCCTTCGCCATGCTTTCGGGAAAAACAAGAAAAGAAGAACAACCACTCTAGCCTGGGTGGTGTTCAGCACCTTGTGGGTAAGTTGGATGCTTTTTAAGGGTCGTTCCCTCATTCCCTGCTGAGCACCAGCAAGTCTCACTTCTCACTGTTGGAGACTGTATACTTTTTGAGTGGTACCCTCCCCCAGGCTAACATGGAAGTTCCCAAGATCCCTTTGGAAGACTTGGTTTCATTTACCGAGGCCTTCTGGAAGCTTCCGGCTGTTTGTCTGAGGGAGTGTATACGAAAGTCATACCATGAGCACACTTGAAAAATTGGGACTCGTGCCGTGCCCAATGAGGAGACTCCCGAAGAGTGGGCCATGTAGGAAGCTCACCACGCGAATCTCTCGAGTTGCCCCATGCTTCCCTAGAGTGATACGTGGAGTTCCCCAGTGGCACTCTTTTTTCTTGGTGTTTGGTGTATCAAACATCAACCAATACTGTATGTTTTTTGTTTTTCTCATGGTATGCCATGTCTTTTACTTTGACTTCCGGTTTGGCCGTTTTCTTGGCGGAAGGTGAGCTTTTGAGCTGGGTGAAATACTCGGCGACGTGAGTTTTAGGGTGTTTTTGAACAGACGCATCGGCCCATGTTGGCTTCAGCATTTCCACCACTCAAAAAAAGGTTCCATTTAAGGTTCCAGTTCCCGGGGGGTTGTCCCCATTGGATTGAGGTAAAGGGGATGCTTCAGCTTCTCGAACTCGGAAACTCGGAAGGTTTCCATGCGGCCAAATCTATTTAGCCAGACGCTGGCACAGGGGAAACCGTAGCGACATTCTTGATTGTGACCCCGCTACCCGGAAAAAACCCAACTGCAAGATTTCGCCACTCAAGGTTTTCTGTTTTGCCCAAGCAGCTTCCATGCCGAACCCCGACAGGGCTCTTTTGGCAGGAAGGTCCAAAAAACCGCCTCGAGCTGCAGGGTGTTAAGCATTTCTTGCGCAAAAACGTCGCATCCACAGCTTGGTGCCGGCCGGGCTGGTGATCTCCGCGTCTAATCAAGGCCAGTGTCTGGTGCATGAGTGTAAGCTGGCAATGCTGCAATTTGTTTCTCATCGCGCTTGACCCATTGAGTCAATTTGGCTGAGTTGCTTCTGAATGGATATCCGGGAAGCAAGAGCCAATAATACAAAAAGCAACGCGCTGTCTGGAGCTGTGCTACCCCTCCAACCCCTCCCTCCCTCAACCCCACAAAGCCATCAACTTGCCGGTCGCGTCAGCGTTGGCATCAACAGGGTGTTGGCCAAACCCTCTTTCTCTGCAACCTGTTTTTTTTTTTGTGGTCTCAGAGGTGCGTTTCCGCGTTTGGGTTTTGTGTCTCGAGGTTGGTATTCTTATGACACGACGCCAGCAAGAGCAGGCGTTTACAGAGGATTTGGAGCTGCACTATGCGCAGTTCCGCTCCAAGATCTCGTCCAGGTCCCAAAGGGCAGAGAAAGGTGCTGCGGCCAAAGCCGCCGCCTCTGTTGGCTCCGCCTGCGCTAGCTCTGATGGGACCTTGCGACCTGTGACGTAGCGACGTAGTTGTTCATGTTCATCCCGATGCAGCTACGGCGTCTGCTGAGTGGGTCAAACACGTAGGTTTCACCCGCACGCCGAATGTGTCTGTGCACGTGGTACAATCATGCAATGTGATCTCATTCCGGGGCTTAATGCAAGATTCCCCGCATGTCAAGTCTTTCCTCTGACACTCTGACATGTGCACATGCGGCAAATGACAATATTCTTTGTGATGTCCGTCTACAGTTGCGATATGATTCCGTCCAGGGCTGATCTGCCCCTTTTAGCCCGGCGGCGCTTCAAGGCTTGCTCTTCAGCAGATTTCTGGTATCGCAATGCGGAAAATGCCGACAGCTGGGTTCCGGCAACGTTAAAGAAATGGGTCTGGTTGGGCTGGTTCACCCGGCTTGGGTGGTTGTTAAAGGGGAGCAGAACTTTGGGGGCCCTCAAACACGACGCACTCAAATGTAGACAGACTCCTTTTCACCAAGTTCCTGTGTCACACTGCAACTCTGAAGAGTCATGATAGTCTTATTGAGGCACTGCCGTTCACCAGAACCGTCCCCCCGCACCTTCCTGATTCGGAATCGGGCAGAGCATAGATTCTTGCTTCAGTTCTCCCTCGATTGAGTTAACATATTCAATCCTACAGCGAGTTTTGATAGGAGAGACAATCAGAAGGGTGTTCTGAAGCCTAAGAAGGTCAGCGAGGATGATTTCCTTCATGATGAAGAGGATGCCACCAAAATGATGCCTTTTTGTATTGCTCAGCCTTTGGTCTTGGGTTTGACATAGAAGTTATCCATGGACTGAGGTCCAGACGTAACATGGATGTGATCTGATGACTCCATTCATCGATTCTTTCAACGGTTTGGAGGCGCTGGTGGACCTGGAACGGTGCTCAAAGAATACTTGAAGAGTTCTAAGGAATACCAACAGGGAAGCTTCTGGCGGAAACGGCAAGACACGTGCAAAGCGTTCTCTAGGCCTCAACTGGCTATGTGTCAAAATCCAAATCGTACTCCCAGTGAACATCCGAATCCAACCACTAAAATAGGTTCTGAAATGGGTAGTGCACGTATCCCAAAATGGTACCATTGGGTTTGACCCACAGCCAACTCTCCAGACTTCCATTCGAGTTGAGGCCAGTTTGGCACTGGACCCCAGTTCGATCCAGCCGAGCTGAAATACCACAGCTGTCGAACGGGAGAGGCAGCAGGACCCAAGAAGCCTTCGAAGTCACAAGGAAGCCTTTTTCCAAAGATTCTTAGAATCCTCCTGCCGTGTGGGGTGGGTTGGGGGGGGGGGGGGGCTTTTGGTTTCCTTCCTAATCCACTTGTTTCAAAATGATTCCGCGAGCAAAGCGTGCCTCATAGTTGAGTAAACGTCGATGGCGCAATTCTCCCATTTGGGTTTAGTTAGCCCCCTTACTTGCCCACTACTTGCCTGGTGTACGGGCAACCGCCTTCTGGAACTTTGACCACTCAAGTTGTTATAAAGATAGCAGGCCGGAATGAAACAAGAAGTTTCAGGTATGTCAGAAAGTGCTCCCAGAGCTTTCGATTTCACCCGGATCAGGACGCTTGTTTCTGGAGTTCGCTTGTTGAATGCACGTGTAGCGATCCGTGTCCCATCCGTTCCCATGTTGTGAAACCCATTCGTTCCGGCTGGTCGGGCATTGCTTAGCACGATTTCCTGGCAATCGGCGGTGGCCTAGTAGCCAGCCCTCGGGAGTTGCCAAGGCCTCCATTTGGCACAAGCGAAACCAACCAACCAGCGCCGGTCCCTCACCTAAACTCAAAGCCTAAAGCTGAAGCCTAGATCCCCGAAGCCGAAACCCTAAGCCTAAACCCACACCTGAGAAGCCTAAACCTGAAAACCCAAACCTAAACCCTAAGTTTCTGAACCCTAAACCTGAGAACCCTAAACTTAAATCCCCGAAATCCACGCAAACTGCCGATGCAGAACCACTTGCCCCCCTTTTAACTCAACTCTCGATACCGTCCATACGCATGACCATGCCACAAGAAAAGAACATATATCACAGTATTGGTTTCCTTGGGAAGACACACTTTCTTCGGGTTACTTGTCAGTCCAAAACCGGGAAGGGAATGACACACCGCGCTTCCTGTACAGGATCTGCCTGGGGAAGCCGGGAAGCCAAAGGCAAGCGGGCGGGAACCGGCTCCGAAGCGCAGGCCTGGGGCGGCAAAGTCCAAAAGGTGGATGTGGTGAAAAGCCTCGGCAAGGAGCGAGTCGCGGTCTTCGAATCGCGGGAGGTCGGTAGCGATGAATATATTTATGTATATATATATATACATAATATGTATATATATATATATATATGTAGGGGTTGATCAAAAAAATCCATTTGATCAACCCCCATATATGTCTATGTGTGTGTGTGTCAAAACAGGCGGGCCGTGACCCCAACATAGCTGCAATAAGCTAAGACCAACATGAAAGCCTTTGGAAGTGTCACCATGTCCGGAACGCTCCCGAACCTCACAATGACGAAGCCAGGCCGCGAGGGTAGGAAGTTGGTTTTGCAATGGGTCCTTGTTTTCGTTTTCACCAGACCACTTTCTAGCCTTGCGAGTCTTTAGAGCAATGCACGACGGAATGACTCCAGTATGGTCAACTATGACGCGACGTCACGTTTCGGGGTTTGGCGACGTCACCCACGATCACCCATGCATATGAGGGTTTCTTTGCAGGCGTTCGCCCCCAATTTGCGGAGGAAGGAGCATTTGCTGCTGAACAGTTTTGGGGCCAAAGCTGCCCCTCAGTGAAGCTGCCCCAAGGACAGGGCATTCGTCTGGTAAAGTGCTAGTTTGCTGTGGCCGGGGGCCCTTGAGGAGCTCGGCCACTCAAACTCGCTTTGGTCCCGGCCGCTCTCATTGGGATTGTTCATACTTTGCCAAGATGAATCCATCATTTTCTGAAGTAACGCGAAGGTACTTGCCAGATCCCGACAAGGGCTTCCTAGAATGCAGGAAAGGCGGTCAGAACTTCCCCGTAGCCAAACCGTGCAGGTCCCCTCGAGGGCTTCCTTGTTCCCTGTGATCGAAGGCAACCGCTCGAAGAAAAAGTGGAAGGAGCCAGGATGAGCTGATAGGCAAAACGAACATGTTCAGATTTGATTTGATGTTTTTTTCTTTCAGGTTCTTGAATCACTGCATTGCTTGCAGACCTGTCCTGATTCCCTGCTTGTCGCGAATTTGCCTATCTGCCCATTTTGTCCAAAGAACCTCAGATCTGCAGCCCATGTCCCGCTTTTGGCAGAGCTCCGGAGTTCGGATTTCGCGAAACCCGCAGGAGGATCGTGGCCGCTTGGTGCCCTTCGGCCGGCAAGAGCCCAAGATGTGCGTCAGCGTTGAGGCAGGAACTTCGTGATTGCTGCTTGGGAAGGAGTTGTTTAATACCCTGAGATTACACTGGGAAATGTCCCAAAAGAATCCCAGAATAAAGGGGCCCTGGGGAAATGTCCCAAATGAATCCCAAGTAAACCAAAAGCCAGATTTCATTTGGACAGTTCATGTGTTTCACGTGTTTGGTTAAAAAGCCGTGCTTTGAACCGATTGCGTCTAGCAAATCTTGCTTGCAGTTTGCTTGGTTTGCTTTGCGTTGCTTTGCTTGCCATTCTCGACCCCTATATAACATCATGGACCCAAGCGGGGGTTTCCCTATTGGGAAAGAGCCCGTTTGGGGAGTTTCTGGGTAAAGGAAGCCAGATGAAAAGCCCTACCATTACATGCACGTCGTGCTGGATTCTTTATGCCCCTATTCAGAGTGGTCCAGTTGTGGACAGGGGCCCCTGAAAATGTGAGGAAACGGGAACTGCAGAACCAAAAGGAAGCAACTCAGCAGCTTTTCGCCTAGGACAGGCGAAGCCTACCCCGATGTGGGCCTTTCGCCGTGCAGGTGACTGTGCCGGAGTTCACAGTGAAGGACTCAGCCACCAGGGTCATCGAGGGCAGGATCTACAAAGCCATCGAGGCAGAGGGATGGCTTTGGTTCGGCTCGAGCGAGTTTCCTTCAATGCCCTCCAGGACCATTTGGTGTTCATAAGAAGCATTTGTCTTCGATGAAACTCAATGGGAACACATTCACACAGACACTCTCATGAACCATCTGACCAGTCTATGCGCCACAAACCAACACAAGTGTGTGTGTGTGTGTTCATACATATGTGGTTGCGCCTTTGTTTACATCCACCCAAGCACATCGATAGCTGACATACTTGGCAGGGGTTGCCTCGGAGTAAGTCAGACATGGCCTCACGTGCGGACAGCAAACATGTTTTTGCAAGAGACATGAACATAGTTTGGTTGGTTTTGACTTGGCCGTCAAGGACCATTCCCGCTTTCCTTACAGACGTTGAGATGCGGCAGAGAGTCAAAGACCAACCCCGATGGAGGGGGAATTCATATGCCATGTGCGCCTGACACTGTAGGAAGGTGTATAGGGCAACCTCATTTGAAGGCAGGTCCACTGTTTCCCAACATCATCATGCGTGTATGTCTGGTTTGCAGTTTGTTCACTAATTACGAGATCGCGTTGGGGTAAATATGTTCCTTCATTGAATACGGTCCCTTTCTTGTGGACATCTTCTGCAGGCTGGCAAACTATAGTAGTTGACGTCGACCCCGTGTGTATCAACCAGGCCATGTGTATATATGGATGGTGTTGCCCTACAAAGTGTTCTGCGTTCCGTCTAAGAATGCACCCCACACACAAAATGGACAAGAGCTTTATGAATCCATTGGGTCCCAGCCTCAGCGGATGCAGCCGAGGAGACCAGCTGGCCATCACGAGTCATTGGGCTCTGTTTTTGTTCTTTTGGTTTGCAAGGATCATTATTGCAGTGTCATGGCCATTAGGAGTGGCTGGGTGGGAAACAGAATGACCGCTGCTTTTTCTGCCGAGCGGCGCGTGGCCACTCATAGCTAATGACATGATGTGGACCCCTCCGTTTGGGCAGGACGTCAAGGGTAAAGCAAATTGGATTAAGCGAGTTGGTAACGAATGAATGCAAAGCTTGTGTTTGTGTCCTGTGTTTCTGCTCTTTGACGGAATGTTGCCATGCACCCCTAGGGTGTACCCCGAATGGCTCTCATTTAGAGGTAGGAAGGAACATACAGCCTCACATTGGTATATGGGGGTTGCTCAATATTCATGGCTCCCAAATGACCACGGGTAACTTCTCCCATGTATTGGGAAAGATCATCCTTTGAGTGGTTTTCCCCAATGGTCATCCTATGCAAAGGACCTCTGGGTCAATCCTCATATACCCCACAAAGCCCCTCATGGTGTTCCGGCTGTTTTTCTTTTGGGCCCTGAGCGACAACTTTGCTCGACCTGCCGACGCGGCAGGTGGTCGGCGAAGCCACTGAGAAGGCTGAGGGATTTGGGTGGTACAATGGATGCACAAATTCCACTTTGTGCCACTTGGTGGGTGGTTCATGCCAGTATTTACAGGGCTTTATGTATCCCAAACTAGTGCAGGCTTCTTTGGTGTTTGTGTTGCTGTAGCCTTGATGCAGTAGCCCGGTTGTTTGGATTTATTATTTCTTGGTTTGTTTTGGTTGACTGATTCCCCAAAAAAACAAACCACTCTTTTGAAACTTTGGCGCAGGAATCCCAGAGAAAAAACAAAACACCTTTTTTGCGGGGAATCCCAAGCAAAACCCACTCTGTTGCGGGAACCTCCCCGGATTTTGCGCCGAAGCCGCTGGCTGCTTCGCGGCACCTTCGCGCGCGGCGCGGCTTCGCGGCGCAGGCCCAGGCCACCGTGGCTGCGACGGCCAGCGCCAAGCGGCAGGCCACCGCGCAGGCGGGTGGAATCCGTGCGAAGAAGTGGCAGATGAACGCCCATGTACCACCAATGTTGATGTTCACCAGGGGTACAGGGTTTTGACCCACAGCCAAATGGCTGTGGGTCCCCTCGGTGAGCTCGCTATGTACAGGCAGATAGGGACGAACATCCAACGGTTCTTCTGGGCCTTACGGTATCAGATCACAGGGGTGCTCTTGGTCAGGCTGTGGGTCAAAAATATGTACCGAGAATGGCTTGCCCTGGTCAATGGAACCAAAGAACCCCTTTTGTGGGGGAGGGTTCCCCTACTAAAATAGACTACAGACAAAAACGGTACCCTTATTCTAACCTCTCTACTGGAGGACCTAGTTGAAACGAAAAACGTTTGGTGGTATTTACACGGGGAGTCATTCTTCCAGGGTTTCTTTTGGTTGGGGCAGGATGAACCCCTGGTATGACCCGCTAGTTTGTGGATTAATCTCCCTTAGTTATGGCGCTTTACAGCCAGAGCCAGTGCTTGTAAGGAAGGTATGACCAGGCCACACATAGGGGGAGTTTTGACCATGGCACGTACGGGGCTTGTTTGGCTTGCGGTTTGTGTTTGTTTTGTGATTGGTTGTTTGTGTGTGCTTGCGTTCACACGGGATGATTTGAATGTGAACCAAAGCAATGACCACTCCACAAGGGTAGAGAATTGGTCTTGAGCCCTGCTTTTCCTTCACCAAAGATCAGTGAGCCAGCTGTCTGCCTTGCGGCAGGGTCTTTTAGCGTAACTTGCTTGTATTGGGCTGGTTGGTTGATTGGCTTAACTTGTTTTGTGTTTCTTTGTGTGTGTGTGTGTGTTGTGTGTGTGCTGTTTGTTTCGTTGCTTCTTTTTTGTTTTGGTTGGTTGTTTGCTTTGCTTTGCTTTGCTTTGCTTGCTTTGCTTTGCTTGCTTTGCTTTGCGTGTTTGTTTGGTTGGTTGGGTGGTTGCTCGCTCGTTTCTCCGTCCGAGCCTTCCGCCGAAGCTCCGAAGGCCGAGGCCACGGCGCGGGCCAGCTACAACGCCACGGCCTCCGCGCAAGCCACGCACACCGCCGGGGGCCGTCCAGCGAACGCGTTGGGTCACGCTTTTGTTAGGTCCAGCGATCGGTGCCCTTTCTCTCCCGTTTCTTTTTTGGGGGCGGGTTCCCCTACTATATAAAATAGACTACAGAAAAAAGTTGGTAGCCTTATTTTAAGCTCTCTACTGGAGGACGTCTCACTCCCTGCGGTCATGGATGGAAGACCATTTTGGTGGTAAACAACAAGTTTGGACTCTTCTTCTTTGGCCATCCACTCAGTTCCCCCAAAAGGCAAAAATGGCACGGTTCACAAAAAACGACGGTGTCCCAACAGTCTTCCGAAAGGCTCGTGTCAGGCTTTATGATTGGAGGGACGGCACCAATTGCATTTTGGTTCAAACCGGAATCCAAAAGGACAACTCAGCCATGTTCGGGCCCCCCTATTATGACGCTCAGGATTTGTAAGGGATGCCAAATGGCCGCCTTTGAGGTTGGTTCGAAGAAGACACAAAAGGGAAATCACGAGTTTTGGGTTCCCTCTCGGACATTGTGAAGCACCTGTGAGGAGATTTGTTCATGAGACAAAAGTCACAGGAGAGTGGGAGTTCGCCGGACGCCTGTCGCCGGGAGCCATTAGAATGGGTTGCTTCCTTTGGCTTTCCTTTACACCAAAAAGTGTAACAGCAACAGACCCAACCATGTGTTCCCTATGAAGTGAGAGTCACAAGGACGGTCAGACGGTCCACTTTTTCAGAGTTGGTTTTGTTCAGCCTTGTTTGGATTCCTTGGATTTGATTCAAAGGCCTTGCAAACCATGTTTGATGGTAGGGCATGGTGTTCTTTTGTTTTTTGTTGGTGCTAAATATCTTATGATTACTCGTTGCTAAAAGTAAGTGTTGCCTTTTTCCCAGACTTTCTTTGACCCTGTGGTGGTGGTTGCTGGCTGCTGGTTGTCACGCACACTTGCTTGCAGGGTTGGTTCGACAACCAACTTCTGGGCCCTTGGGAAACCAGAATAGACCCATCCCCTGGAAACCACAAGACATTTGTTTAAGCATTGCACATTGGTTTCAAGGTGATTGATGTGCTTTTTTTGGTCATCGCATCCGAACCTTAGCCTCCGAAAATGTGACATGGTTCCGACGCCAGCCCGCGACTGGAAAACCTTCCCATGTGGGTCATCCCCCAAAAATTGGCCTGGAACCCAACAGAGGTCCACTTCCCCAAAGGAGGGCTTTTCCTCCATCCGTGGCTCGGGTTTGTTGCTCATCATGTTTTTTGGTTCCACGTAAAAAATGTAGCAAGGAATGCGGAGAAATGTGGACGTCCATTTGCCTAAGCATATTTGTTCAATTTGTTTATTCTCCCCTCTTGGCTTTAAAGGGAAACTACAGGACCTTCCATTTGCTTAAAGTTTCTTTTTTGTTTTTTTCTGGTGGTTTGAAAGGGAATCTACCACTATATACTGGAAGTATTTTGTCATTTTTCCAGGGGTCTTAACCAAATGGAAGGGACATATTTGTCCAGCGCAACGCCCATGGCGGACGCTTGCCATGAGGCCTTTGCAGAGGCCACGGACCAGGTGACCGCGAGCTCCCAGGCGAGTGGCTGAGCCAAGCTCCGTGGCGACATGTTGAGACATGGCTCCGTCTGTTTGTTTGAGGGTACCTCTAGAAAACGGTTTGGAGGTGGCTTTTGTGGTTCCCCTGTAGAAGGTTAAAAGAGTACTAAAAGAGTCTAAAAAAGGACCAACAGGGGGAAGAACAGGTGAAATCCACAAAAGGCGCATCCAAAACGGTTTCTAGAGTACCCCTTTGTTTGTGGCTTGCTTTTAAAAGGAGAAGGAGAAACAAAATCATGGGGGTCCACTAAGAAGGACAAACCCAGCGGTGTGTGTCAAACATGGGATTTCGGTTTTCCACTCACTTGCCCAATTCCGAGCAATTGACTTTTGTTTTTTCTTCCAGTCTTGGTAGCCGTTTTTAGTCATGGCCCCAGAAGGTGAACCTTGTAGTTCTACGTTGCTAAGGGGCAACAAAGTTTAACCATGAAAACTCCAGATCTATGAGCCTTTGGTTGATTCACTCGGTGTAGTGAGAGAGACAGGTTTTTTCTTGGATTCCACAGGTTGATTGAATGACTTTTTGCCTTTTGGTGCAGGGAACCACTTGATTATCACGTTGAAAGGACGAGTCGCTAAGTTCCCAGCAATTGGGTTCCCCTTACGGTAAATTGCCTTCCGTCAGTTCCCGGGATGTATCTTTGAATGACAATTTGAAGTCTCGATGTAGTTTCCCCATTCTCCGAGATCCTTCTTTGCAAAAAGCATGGGCCAAACTGGGAAAAGGGTGGTTTTTTTCAGGAGAGCGATGAGAAGGAATCTCCATTACTCCACTACCCACTACCCGAATCACTCTTCTTGGCAAGGTTTTTTTGTTTGTCTGTTCCTTGGGCTGCCAAAAGCAAAAAAGCACTCAGGTTTTTTTGTTTGCAAGACCCGGAGCGTGTGGGGGAAGAACCGCTGAACCCACTGGACGTGTTTTTTTCCTCCCCCTCCGACGACGGCGCAGGCCAGCGCCAAGGCTTTGGCGGGCTCCCGGGTGAAGGAGAACAGCGAGGTCATCACCAAGGCCCAACGCGTCTTGGGAAGCAGGGCGCGCGGATTTTGTTTGAGGGACCCGTCTTGGGGTGGGTTTAAAAACGAAGCCAAGAGTGGTGTGTGAGATTTGTTGTTTTGTTTTGAGGGAACCCTCTTTGGGGTGGTTGAAAAAGGAAACCAAAGAGGAAACTACCATTTGTTGAGGGGTCCCCTATTTTGAGACAAACCTATCTCTTGGTGTTCCACTTTTCCAGGCCCCACATTTTCGCAGGGTTGCCAGCTTGTTATGTTTCTGTCGACAAAAGGAAGCCCCTTTTTATCTTGGCTTAAATGGCAAATCACGAGTTTTGAGGTCACCCGAATTTGACATACCACTGCCGACATTGTACCTTTTGGGTTTCCCCATTGGCCCATGTTTACCCAAAGATTGACCTTCCATTTGCAGGTCCTGTAGATGCGACAACAAAGGCTCCAGATGGGTCCTGATCCCTGTGTTTATTTTTGAGGGTGCCTGTTTTAGATTTAAAGGTAAACAAAAGCCCCATTTGGACTCTGCTTCCAAGCAGGGAGAAGCTAGGGCTGAGATCACAGCGCAACTGGGTACGTTTGGCCAGTTGACCTGTCAGTTGCTCCAGGTCACGAGCCCGTACTTTCAATCGAGGGCTCCTTTTTTTGGCCAGAAGTCCGAAGCATTTTTGTTGTGACTGGGTCCTTTGGATGTCCACTTGCAAGCGAATCGACCAGACTTGACCATTGTGTCCTTCCTGCTTCCAGTGGCAATCAAAGTAGGCAACCAGTGGAGTTGTTCATAAGACCGACTGCGTAGTCTCAGTTGGCGCAACGTGGTCTCATATGTTTCGCCTATTCTGCCCTCATTGAGCGCAAAGACCGCAGGACTACACAGCACGAGGAGCATTCCAAGCTCAACGAATACAAGGGACTCAAGGGACATGGCAATGGCAGTTAGTTTGATGTCTACAGGCAAGGCTTTGCTTGTATCACAAAGCAGCGCTTGTTTTATGGTGGCGGTTCTTAGCAAGCATTGGACATCGGCACTGACAATGCCACACCCACAGATGCGGCAGAGCCGGTACAAGCATGTTATGTTGGTTGAGTCGCAACATCACTGCCTGCTTTCCAGAGCGCCTGGTTAAATGGTCCGCTGGCAATGCCTTGGCTGATTGAAGAAGAAGAGTACATGAAGATGCCTGGCTCATGGTTCCTCTGACTTGTAGCGCCCCCCCCTCACCCCCTTTAAGGTCGACAAGGTGTGGACCAAAATTAGATGTGTTGGGGACCCGCGTGATCAATCTGGAGCCCTTTGGTTCTCCTTTACTTCTGGCCCTCCGCAGCCAATTGAACCGGAAGCAGCTTCCTGGAGAACCTCTCTTGCCTTCTTGGCCCTTTCTGGGCGATGGGGGCTTCAAATGGCAACGGCAGCTTTTGCTTCGAGCCAACCTTGGCCCTGATGAACCGCAGTTTTTTTTGTTTTTGTTTTTTTTGTGAAGGGGGGGAGGCCGGCCTGCAAGAAACTGGTCCCTGTTGTGAGCTCGAACACCTTGTCATGTTTAGCAAACTTTATGTAAGACAAAATACATTATTTGGGAAGCGCATATTTGGGACAACTTGAGGAGTTTAGTATTGGCTTAGTATTGATGGGTTTAAGCACCTTTTCTAGCAGGTTTTCTGGGCGGGGGGCTGCAGGGGGGGTTGGGGAGGCCGCCAAACATGCTTATGTTGGTTTTTGGGCAAACCTTCTTGGCCCTTCACTTTAGTATTGATGGGAATCTGGGAGGGAAAAGGGAAACCTTTCATCACGGGGGGTTTAAAACATGAACACTGACATTCCTACGATAGCGGAAACTGGAAGCAGCAAGTGAGCCACAATCACAGCCTGGGTAGATGATGGCTAGGGGACTTCTATCCCCTTGCGCCAAAGAGGTGCGGGGCTTCCTTCACAGCCCTCTTGATTCTTCATGGTGTTGGAAAATTGACTTGCAGACATGAGCTTAGACATGAGCTACTCCAGGTCAATCGTCAATCCGTCGCTTGGTTCGTTTCTTTTGGTTCGAGCGCCAGGCGCGCATCCAGATCGCGCGGGCCCCGGAAGCTTGAGAGCCGCTCGGGGATCGAGTTCGCGCTTGGATCGAGTTCTTTTGGTTGGAGAAGGGACCCTAAGGGCATTGTCTTGTTCCATTGGGTTTTCATACCCAACGGTGTTTGTCGGTCTTGAAAGAGTGTCAGGGAGCGCTCGGGCTTCTCCATCGGTTTTTGGGGTCTGCATCGGAAAGGTTTTTCTATCCTGTGTGGGGAGTCCCTTCATGTTGATTCCAAGTTGGCAAAGTCAAGGGGCAAACGCATTTGCATGTCGACTGGTTGATTGTTGATGACTTGGGGCCAATGGAATCGACCACGATGCGACTCAAAAGGTCATTTAAGTTGCCCTTGGGCGCAACTGATGTTGGAAGATATAAGACATTTGGTCCATGTTGCTTCCGGGGTTGCGTTCAAACACCGACACAGGTGTTGTTCTTGTTCAGCTCCCAACGCTGGGCGCCTGAAAGGGATTCTTGATTCTTGTGGTCTACTGCTTCTGGCACTTCTTATGATTGATTCATCAAAAGTAAGCATGTAGGTTTCTTGCTGGGCTTTGAACCAAAACCCAATCTGAAGGGTCTCAGATGGGCGTGGCTCGAAAACAATGAGAGCCAGGGGACCGCAGGTTTTAATCTACTTCGGGCCCCTATGTTTGAGCCACACTCATTTGTCGATACCCCAAAGGTCGCCCTTGTTTTCGCGAGGCTCTGCATACACCAAAGACCGTGGGCCTCTTTTTGCCCTATGTTGCAGCTCAAAGCTCAACCGTCCCGGTTTGGAAATCAACTGTGATATGTTGAAGGGGAATCAGGCCTACTTGATGTGATGGAAACTGGCATCAGTTTCCACTTTTGTTGTCACAAGAGGCATTCTTGTCCACAACCATGGGGCACATCTATGGGTCCCCGGCTACATGTTCAGTGCTCGAGGAAGGGGGGGGGGGACTTTGGGAGTTCCTCCCGATTGGCCCAAGCCGCCTTTCCATGGGACACCATATTCCAACCCTCCCACAAACCCCCCTTCCGCTTTGTACGGACATGGCCTTTCTAGGCCCGCAGAAGCAGAACACCAGAGGGATTTCATGTGCATTTCCGCCTCCCCCCCCCCAACAAAAAACAAAAAAACTAATTAAACCCACAAAAACACCTGTTCCCCCATGATAATTCTTCAGGGACCCTCGCATGGAGCCTGGAGTCTCCATGACCCTTTCAAATGGGTCCATGACCCCCTTATTTTGGGTGAAGACCCCATTTTTTGAGGGTCACGGAGACTCCCGGCCAGGGCTTTTTCTGGGCTTTGCCCGGCCGGGAGATCAGCGGAGCTGAGCTCTCGCCGAGGAGTCTTCGGCGACCAGCGTCCAGAAGGTCACCGAGAGCGCCACTCGAACCGCCAACGCCACCAGGCGAGGAGCGCTTCGGAACGTCCGCGGGGTTTGCGCGCAACAGATCCAGAGCACCGGGGGAAACGAGGCGAAGCTCCGGTGGCTTGCCCCACGGAAGTTTGGTGTTGTCATCATCACAAAAATTAAATTGGAACCCCAAAATGGCTTGAGGCGCAAGGGGCTCCCGAGAAGACACACGCACAAACCCATGTGTGGTTCAATCGAAATATCCTCAGTTGTGTATGATAGTCCTATCGGCAGGGACACGCGGGGAGTCTTCAAACAACCCACAAAAACACCTGGGTCTTATTGTTTGTCCCATGTCCAGGGATACTGTGAATATTGACCAGGGCTCAATTCGCAGAATTTCCTCGCCCCCAGTGGCGGTTCCTTTCTTGCTCAATTTTGTATCGGAAAATCCTTAAAAATCAACCAACCCAAAGAGGTGTATTTTTTTCTCACTGGAGGTTTGGGTCACGGTCTAACTTGTTTGCACAGCAAAGCAGCTCAGTTTCATGTTCTTCATTTACCCACACATTTTTCTTGGTGCGAACAACATTGATGCAGAGAGACCTTGATTCAACATGAAAACCAGGCTCGACCCCTGTTTCGCCACGCGTGTCCCAACACTCCACTGGAATGTTGTTTTGGAGGAACGTTCTGCTTGAGGCTTGCCTTTGGTTTCGCAACCAAAGAACCCCTTCAAGGCTACCTTGAAAAGGCACACCCAACTAATATTAGTGTTTTCGAAGGTTTGCACAACTCACTTTGACTCGGGCTCTCTCCAGCAAACGCGACCGATTCGTTTGGTACACGAGCCAGGGCCTCCATGTTGTGCTTAACCCCCACGGCAACGAGCCCCAACGAGAAGCAAACGCAGAGGTCCCGTCTTATCATTCAAGTCTGGGTCCCCCAGCTAGAAGCCCTTTCTCACCCCTTTTTTGGTCGGGAGGGTTCCCCTACTAAAATAGACTGCAGAAAAGAGTTGGTACCCTTATTCTAACCTCTCTACTGCAGGCCCTAGCAAGTCTGGCCTTGCATGATCCAAACATGGAACTCGGCTTTGCCTTTGCTTATTTGTAGGGGTTACAGTCGGCGTTCCTGGTTGGTAACTTTATTGAGACCCACTTGGGGATGACTTTGGTAAGACATAATCATAGAGCAAGCTTAAAAAAGCTGCTGGCTAATACCAACATCAGGCTCTTCTCTTTTTCCAAGGCGAGCCTCAAATTGAATATTTCTGGCGGATATAAGACCTGAGAGGGGAAAAGCCCGCCAGGACTGCTGCCGCCACCGCCAGCGAAGGCGTATCCAGCGGCGTACAGCTGAGAGCCATCGAAGAGTTCAGGTCTTTTCCGCTGAGTTACCTGGATCTCCTGGAAGTTAAGAATTCCTACTCCAAAATTAAAAAAAAAAGTACTTTTTGGCCTGAGGACACGGGTATTTCCACTTTCGAACGGGTATTTCTACTCTTGAACGGATATTTTCACTACCATCGAAGTGTTCATAAATCAGCACTGCACATAATATAAATTATCAAAGGCGTATTGCGTAATGTTGGCGTATTTTTATTTTTTTTACGTACCTCCGAACGGGTCCGAACGGGTCCGAACCGGTACGAACGGGTTCGAACGGGTTCGAACGGGTTTCGAACGGGTTTCGAAAGGGTTCCGAACGGGTCCGAACGGATGCCTGAGCAGTCGGAACTACCCGAACGGGCATTTTAACACGGAGTGAAAATTATCACTCCAGCATGGAAGAAAGTACTTTTTCCTTTTTGGAGTGGGAATTATTAACTTTACAAGAGATGCAGGTACTCACTTCCGGAAGGAGTTTCCGGACTTTCTTTTTGGTTTGGACCATTTTAGTGGGATAGAAGCACGAAAGGTTACTTTGGACCATCCACATCAGGAGGTGAGGATTGAAACGTGCCGCTTTGTTGGGAGGAGCTTCCCTAACAGAATGTGCACCGGAAGCCAGGCGTGACGGTGGAGCTGTCCCAGACTGGCACAGGCGCGTTGGGAATCAGAGTCGTCAAGTGGCCATGTCTTTGTAGAATCAGACCCGCCAAAAGACCAGAAGTGGCTTTCTTCTGGTTTTCCTTTAAAGCTACCAAGCAAACATGGGTACTTCCGAAAAAAGGGACACCCAAGTAAAGTTTCAGGTACCCTTCCCTCGCCTGGGAGGCACAGGGACTCGGGAAAGTGGTATGGTACTTGGGTTAGAGGGTGGGTGAAAATGCGTGTTGAAACCCGGGAAAGCCCCTAGTCATGAAACGTCTTCCAGGACCCCCCCCAATGGCTGGCAAATAACCCCAAAACAGCCATTGGGAGGTCATTCTACCATTTTGAGTCGGAAACCTCAAGATGTAAACGGGGCCCCAATTTCCCTTGGGAAAACGACTCGCGTCCCCTGAAAGGAAACCACGAAGGGATGGTGATTTATAGGGTCTCACTCCCTGCCCATGGCACCAGCAAGCCAGGGACCCCCGTTCTCAGGGAAGCCGGTTATGTCAGGCGGGGGGAAGCCGGTTATGTCGAGCCCGGCAGGCACCAGCGAGGCGGAGGTGACCAAAACGGCCAGCGCCACGGTGGAGGACTCTGAGACGGTGAAGAAGCGCCTTGGCAAGGCCATCCGCCGATCCGTAACGGGGCGTGGGTTTTATGGAATGCCTATAAAGGGTAGGCAGGAAGGTGGAGAGTTGAGAGTTCTAGGGTTCCTTAGGGTTCCTTAGGGTTCCTTCGGGTTTTGTTAGGGTTGGCTAGGAAGCCTTAGGGAATCCTCCCCCCCCGGCCAAGGTTGGACCACCCTCTGAAACCTCTGGTTGGACCCTTCCATGCATCTTCTCCCCCAAAGGAAAAAGATGAAACCAGCCAGGGGTCCGGGTTCCTTGAGAATCGGACTTGGGAGTTTCTTCGAACGGGCCCTTTCGTGGGCAACTTTATGAGGAAGTCGCAGGACACAGCCCATCCCTCTTTTAGAAGCAGCCCATCTTCCAGACTTGTCTATCTGGGTGTGTGATTTTGGAGAGCTTTCACTTTGGGTAGGGAAACCGAAAGGACAACCCATGAGTTGGGTACCTCAGACTTGGAGTCATAGTTGTGGAAAATGGTTTTCTGGTTGTCAGTGTCTGTCATATCCTTGGAGAACACATTTAAAAGCGACAAAGTAGTCATGGGGATGGGCAACTTTGGTATCATAGAAAGGGCATTTTAACAACCACGCATATCCGTCTGTCCCCTGAGTGGAAGGGGAGGAGGGGGGTTGCAGCTGGAGATCTCCATGCGTACCTAGCAGACCCTATTAGTTGCTAGTAGCCCCTATTGGGATTGGGGGGCTTTTATTGGGGGGCCCTTGCCACCCACAGGATTTAAGTCGTTTTGTTTCGAGACCGGACAACTGGAAAACTGGGGGACCCCACGGGGAAACCTTTTCCACCGCCGCCCCCTGGAGGTGGGGATGTTTGGTCTAGTGGGTCAGTTTGCGAGGTCTTTCTTCCCGAATGCTCAGCTTGCAGAATCACATGGAACCCAAAAAGGGGTCTCCAAGATACTCTTTTTGGCTCCATGTTCCGCAGTGCCCCTTCGATCACATGGAAGGCTTCTGACTGACACCCTTTTGGCGGGGGAGGGGGGAGAGGCTTCACGGTCAAAGTACCCCGAAAACGGCTGAATTCACTGACTCCAGATGCTCCAAGGAAGCTGGGAACATGCGCGAACGAGCCATAAGGTATCGAGCCCTTTTCGGGGGGAGTGATTCAAAGGGAAACAAGGACACAAAAGGAATTCAAGAAAAGTTATTGGAGCTTAGGGGTAGCAACCAGTTCTTTGCTTTCTGCCAGCTTCCGATTTCCCTCCCCTCCAAGTACAAAAAGGCACGTTGGACACGCAAACTCAATTTCTGTTTCAAGGGACCGGACTATCCCAACGGAACCTCCCCGCAAGTGTCCACCGCCCCAAGTCTTGTTCGCACATACAACCAACGAGCTGGAAATTCAGGGTAAGCTTTGGCATCTTGACAGGTCGATGTGCTTGGGACTGAGTGTTGACTGTTTTAATGGACCTGAAGGTGACCAGCCTTAACCAGGCAACCAGTTGTGTTCATCAAGGCACTGTAAAAAGCTTAGGGTGGGAAGGAATGAAGGAAACAAAGGCCACCCCAGAAAGGCTCTCAGCTTGTTAGAGGCCCAGATGGAATCGATGGGGAAGACTAGAAACCATAAGAACTGCACTTTATCCAAGGGGGATGAAGGTAAGGACATTTCGACGTGCCAAGGAGCATGAACGTGGGCTCTGAGGGTGTGGGCAAGCTGAAGAAGCTATTCGAGGCCGAAGGGAATGATTCGTCCACTATCTCCGCGAGCGGAAAGGCAGATGCGAGGCTTGTTAGATACACTTGCCCACCATTACGTATGGAATTGTAGCTGCCCATCGCCATTGAAACAAGTATATAGAGTTGTGGAAGGGTTTACCCCTAGAACGCCATCGGTTCCATTGTCTCGTGTTGAAGCTGGGTTGAAGATACGATCTGCAGACCCCGGTTCCTTGTTGCAATGGTTGCCATGGTTACCCCAGCCGATGCTTCATGTTCGTTGCAGCCATTTGCTACGCTGGAAGCTGTGAAGGGGCAGAGGAGTTGTGGTATAATTAGTTGTACACCTTCGACCTAACGGATTCCGCTTGCCTCCAAGGGGTTTTCCATCCTTTAGCAACTAAACCAAAAAGTTGGCGAAGGGTTACCTGCGCTTTGGGAATGGATGGGGCAATGGGTCAAAAGCCAAATCGTACCCCCAGTGAACATCCCAATCCCCACTAAAATAGGTTCTAAAATGGGTGGTGCACCTACCCCAAAATGGGATCCTATTGGTTTTGACCCAGCCATATCTTCTTGGTTGTGGCGTCGTCTTTCTCCGCTTCGGCACTCTCCCATGCTTGGGACTTTGAACTGGTTGGTTCATTGATGGCCATGGAGCAACCACTGCCTAACACCCTTGCTGACAAAGCCGAGAAGGACATGGTTTTTTTTCGTGATCAGTTTAGCTTGTGCTTCTCAGCTGCGTTTGGACTGATGTGGACAGCCTGGGGGCGACATCTTGTCCCCAACTGAGCTCTTCAAATCAGCAGCCGAGCGAATCCGATTCCCGTGGCAAGCTTTCTGGACTAGCTCAGTAGTTCAGGTGAGTTTGACTTCTCACCTTGAGTTGCGAAAGGGGTTGCAATCATATGGCAGCGAATTTTTTTGAGGGGGTCTGTAACAAAGCCGCGGCGGACATTCGTTACAGACCTCGTTACAGAGCTCTGTAACAAGACCAGCTGGCTCGTTACACACCCCGCGTTACACACCCCTCGTCACACACCCTCGCTACACACCTCAGATGAACAAACCAGGCCAGTGACGTGACTGCCCTCTTTTTGCCGCAGCTTGGCTTGCGTTGAGTAGCTGCAATCAAGCTGGAGCTTCGGAGGCGCGCTTTGCAAACTGTGCTTTTCGTTACAGACCTCGTTACAGACCTCGTTACATAGCCGTTACATACTTCGTTACAGAGCCAACCCCAGCCCGGCCAGCAACCACCGCTTTTTGCCGCTTGGCTTGCATTGAATAGAGCTGCGGAGGCGTGCTTTGCGTGCTGCGCTTTGCTTTGCCTCGCTACAGACCTCGTTACCTAGCCGTTCAATACCTTGCTACAGACCCAACCCAAGCCCGGGCCAGCTTCGCTTTGCCTTGTTACAGACCTCGTTACAGACCCCACCCCAGCTCGGGCCAGTGACCCCCCTTTTTGCCGCAGCTTGGCTTGCGTTGAACAGCTGCAAGCAAGCTGGAGCTGCGGAGGCGCGCTTTGCGTCCTGCGCTTTGCTTTGCCTCGTTACATAGCCATTACATACCTCGTTGTGCTGCGCTACATTGTAATACTGATACTGCTTGTCAGGAAATGTTTGTCCCGTTACAGACCTGCGTAACAAGGACCTCCGTTACACACCTCCGTAACAAGATTCGTGGCGCGTCGCGCGTTACAGACCCCTAAAACAAATCATAGCCATATCGTGTAGTCATTTTGCCAGGATTATGGACCAGGATTGGCCAACCTTCCTTTTTGAACAACCCGGAACTTGCGAGCGAGCTTGCATTTGGCATACTTGTTTGGGGTATCCTGTATGTCAGGTTGGTGTACTTTCAGCGGTCACCATTCCACTAGTAAAAGAAAGACCCACACGGTCAGCCTTTTACTTTGTTTTCCCACCTTTGGGGCATGGTTTCAAAGGGACACCAAAGGAAAACTGCAAGTGTTAGCTTCCTCGTGTAGAGACACACCCACTGTTGATACACTTGTGTTGAAGCACTCAACAGGATTTCCCCTCGTGAGCGTTTGAGCTGAGTTCTGCCCATGTCCAAGAGGAACACAAAACGACCTGTTTTTGATGAAATTTATCAAAATGGGAGTTGCTTGGTGAATTAGATACTTATGCGTGAATCATGGTACTTCCTTCGCCAAGATTTCAAGCACATTTTGTTTGCTAACCCTTGGTTTCATCTTTTTCTGTCTTTAAACATCATCTGCTTTCCCAATTTTGTTTTGAACGACATGCAACAAATTGCTTTCGCTGCGAACAACACAACTTGCTGGTGCTCAGTAGGGAATGATCTTCCGGGTTTGGGGGAATGCACCTGAAGGGGATTCCCTGAACGGATACCATAGGGGATGTTTTTTTACCTGCAGTCTCCATGATCCTTTGAAAATGGGTCCATGACCCCAATTTTTTGGCGCAATGACCAACCATTTTGTACGGGTCAGGGTAGGGGTCGTTCCCACATTCCCTGCCCACCGAAGCCACCGAAAACCCAGGCCACGGTGACCATGCAGTCCACGGTGGAGTCCAAGGCCTGCATTTCCGCGCGCAAGGCGCGGCAGTCCTCGGCTAGGCTTCGGATAGGCGTCGGGTTCCCTTCGAAAGGCCCTAAGGCTGGCTGGTTTTGGGCTGGCCAAGAAGGTTGCAAGAAACTGGTGTGGGTCAACATTCAAGCAGCAAGGAACCACAGGTTTTAGTCCATGGTTTCATTTACCAAGGTTCCATTTTGGGCACCTATTTGTGACCCACAGCCAAATGGTCCTGGTTCTTCCGGCTTTCAAAAGCAAGGGGGCTTATCGAGGCGTAAGAACAAGGGACAAATGGAAGTCAAGCAATAGATTTTGGATCTAGAATAACAAGGTCCTAGGACCGGGGTGGAGCACCGCTATGCGGGTGATATGCCTTATTTTCTGCTTGCAGCCCCTCAACGACTGCCCACAGATAATTGCATACTCTGGACATGTTCTCCAAACATATTTTTGTACGACCGTGGTTTTCCACCACGTGAGTTCGACCCGCAGCTCTCTGGATCGCTGGTCTTGCCAGGATGAGCAATACTTTGTGTTGTGTTTAGGTTGATAGGTGTATATGGCTGTGGGTGAAATCCAATGGTACCATTTTGGGGTAGGTGCACCACCCATTTTAGCCTATTTTAGTGTGGATTAGGTTCACTGGGGGGTACGGGATTTTGACCCGTGGCCATATCATGATTCTAAGGTTTGATTCCCCATTCTCCTCACCCATCGTTCTCTTTAGACCTGCTCGTCCGTGAGCCAGAATCACACCCCGGATGATTTTAGAGGACAGTCCCAACCATTGATGTGGCCGATGTTAGCAGAGGGTTCTAAGTACGACTCACGTGGGAGGTCCTCCCTTTGGACTGTTCCATGCTCCCCATACATGTTTCCTGTATGGGGCGGGGGTCCTGTTGTGGACGATGTCAATCTTGTGGACGATGTCAAACATCCAGCCAAAGTTCAACCAACTGCTTCCATCTTTTCCACTTCCATGGTGGGAATGGGGAGTGGAAAGCGTCTTACCCATTGCGTCCAGTCAGGATTCTATTTTTGTCAACCCCAAGGCAGACTTAATCCCAGGAGTTGTCCCGATGGCTTCAGTCTACCTTGGGGTAGTGAAAAAGTGGAACCCAGCTTCCAGACAGCAAAGATACACATGTGGCTGTGGGTCAAAACCAATGGTACCATTTTGGGGTAGGTGCACCACCCATTTTAGTCTATTTTAGTGGGGGTTGGGATGTTCACTGGGGGATCACCGGGCTTTTGACTCATGGCCATGTAGAGTCTAGAAGTAAACTACCAACTCCCATCTCCAAGCGCGCGCCGACCACGGCGAGGCTCGGAGCCTGTTGGACGACAAGACTTTGCAGCAGACGGGCCTGCCCTTCGCCAGCGCGGTCTTCCAGAAGGCAGGGAGAACCGCGGGGACTAGAACTTGAACTGAGTCACAATCAAAACCCGGGTAGATGAAGGTTAGTAAGGGGCGATCCCAACCAGAAATGGCTGCGGCCGCCTTTTTAATCCTGTACATGGTTCTGGGTTCACCATTTGTGTACCGGGTGTTGATTATGACTCAACTCGGTTTCAAGTTGTAGCATGAGGTGTTGGAGCAAGAAGGTGTTGTAGCGTGAGTCCCTTTTGTCCCCTGCGCTGTCCATTATATTTCCCCTGCATTGAACACTTTTTCCCTTTTGTAGTTTGGGGCAGTCGCTTTGCACAGCCTCTCGTTGTCTCTTTCTCTCTTGTTCAGGCTTGACTCCCATGGCATGCGAAGAGAAAAGTCAGCGAGGATGGGAAAGCTGGCCCGCGGGTTGCCAGGCTCCTCATGTATCATACAACACTGCCAAATAGCCCAGTCGCCGGAGCTGTGTTTGCAAAACCTACGGAATTGCTTCCAAACAACATGTTCATTCCCAGTGTGTTCTTGCTAAGTTGCTCCTAAGTATGCTGACTGCCCTAGTCGAAAGTTTGCCATGTTTGGTCTGAACAGCGAAACACGGATGCGCTTGGCTTTTGGAGGGCTAGCGCCCCTCGGCCAATTGGCTTCGTAGGACTTTCCGCAACCCCTTCAAAGCCAATTGGCCGAGGGGGGCTGAATGCTCTTTGCCTGGCGAGCCACTCAAGTTGGAATTTCACTCAACTCGCATTCAAATCTCAGTCAAGTTGCAAAGCCGAGGGAAACAAAGAGAAGAAAGTAAGTTAAGGTTTGAGTGAAGCAGAACGCAATAAATCTTCAACTGGAATGAAGATCGCCCTGAGTACCATGTCAACCGCAGCAAAATACCCTGCAGAACACCCGCGCGCCTGGTAGCGCTCCAAAAGCGAAGCGCATCCGTCCAGGCAGACGCCCTGCCCCGTCCAGCATCTTCAACTGTCTGCACGGCAGCTGTGTGTTTGTGCGTGCAGTTAAATGACAAAACTCGCCACTTGCGTTTGCCTGGGATCGGTCACCAGGGTCTAATGTTGACCCCACATTAATTAACCCCAGTTTTGTGGGGTGAACATTACACCCGAATTTTATTTTGGGCCAATTTGAGGAGCTCACCCATGATGAAAGACCAGTCTTGGGGATTCCTTTCGTCCAGTGTGTGACCCGTGGTGCGTGGGTTCCGCCCCATGGCTGTTTTATCTTAGCACATGTCCGGAATTTCCGTGTGACGTTTTGGAGGCGCGTGTGGTCTGTGAGTTTTTCTCGGTGGCTCCCAGCAATCTGGTTCCTTGGCTTTTTGGCTCTTTAGTCGGTTTAGTGCTAGTTTCTGAATTTAATCCACTAAAAGTTAAGCTCACTTTTAACCAGGGATCAGAAAACGGACGGCGTCCAGTTGAGAAATTCCCTCCCCCGCGACAAAAACGGCGCTTTTTGCCGGGGATCTAAGAACGGGCAGCGGCGATAGGCGAAGATGGAGGCGTTTTTGGAGGCCAAGACCAAGGCTTCCCAGACTGCCCTGGACGCCGCCAAGGAGGCAATGGCGATGGGGTGACGTATCTTCCCTGGGTCGGTTTTTGCTTTAAAACATGAACCCGGTGGTACATTTTCGAAAGGAAGCAATGTGAGCCAACCATTTGTTTGGGGCCATGTTCTTTTTGGAAACACCTGTTTTTTTTTTTGGTGACACCTCTTTGCTTGCTTGCTACTGGGTACCGGATCTTTAGACTTTAACTACTTGGTTGAATTCAAGGGCTTTCCGTATCGACATTTGTTTTGCAGATTGCAGAGGGGTTTTAGGCTGTTCAGAGGCAATCCGCAAGATCCACAAGCCTTGGGTAATACGTGTTTTTTTTTTTTTTTGTGGTGGCTTCCCAGGATTCAGGATTGGGAATGGCCAGGCCTCCATGTTGAACCGCCCAGTTGAGCCTCTTGCTCAAAACCGATTCGTGTAGATGACTTGGTTAGTAAAAGGCAGTCCCCTTGCCAGAAATCGTTGCGGATATCTGCCTTCTTAATTCTTGAAGCATGGTTCTGGGTAGACCATTTCATACCGGGTTTTGATTGTGACTCAGTTAGAAAACGTGAACCTGTTGCTAGGTGTTTGAAAGGAAACAACATGAACCAACCATTTGCATTTTTTAGAAACCCCTGTTGAGTCCGGAAACTTGAGGTTTTGTGTTGCTCGGCTTTCGTCTGTTTGCAGCTTGATTTTTTTTGAGTAGTACGTTTTGTCTTCACCTGGGAAAGCAAAGGCGTCTTTTCAGTCCATCAGTTCCATCTTGCCCCTCCCCTCCTTTTCCCCCAACCTTGGAGGTCCGTGAGGCAATCCCTGACGCACCAAGTCGGACTCGTTCGACGACCGAAGTTCCCCAGTCCTTCAGTCGGGGGCACGGTTTTTTCACGTTCTGGTGGTGGTTTTTGGGGGGTCTCTCTGTCTGATTTTCAAGAGGGTGCCATGTTTTCCATCGTCACTGGAGCAGGACATGCCGCTTTTTTGTTTCTGACGTGCGCATGCCGCACTTGGTTCCCCCCTCGCTGAAGAAGACGGACATTAGTTTTCGAAAGCTTCTCACCATCTGAGATGGTGTTTCTAAGGTTCTATCAGACTTTCCCCGGAATATGGGTGCTTTGTTATGTTCTTCTCCCCTGATTTACACATCACCTTTGGTTGCCACTTGAACGTGAGCCTTCTTTTGGTGCGGATATACTGGGCGTGTCTTGCGTTCGGAATCGGAGCCCCAAAATGGTGGTTGTCCTTTGGGTTTCCTTTAATACAAAAAAAACAAAAAATACAAAAATCAAAACCAACGAAACACGCAGGGGTACCAGCTCCAACAGACAGACACATCCACGGGCGCCCGCAGGCGGCTCAGAAGAAAGCTGAAGCCGACTTGATGGCTCAGATCCAATCCTACGCCACGGATCGGCGTGATCGTCGCTTTCGCGCTCTAGAGAGATCTGGTGAGTAAATCCTAGGCCAGCCCGTATAGTAGGTCACCAGCCTTTTTCCTTTTGGTTTTGAAGGGTGCATATACTGGTAAATGGATCCACTGGGCAAGGACAACCATTTTTTTGGGGGGTCCGATTCCTAAAACAAGCAATCACGGTGTCCTTCCATTCGCATTTTGAGGATTCTCACTTGTGTGACTCCCAGGTTTCCTGATGTCACTTTCACTTTGGACCCAGGAAGAACGGACCAAAAGTATTATTTGTCTAGCATTGGTTCCGGGAGGACCTTCCCATAAACATTGGGACCAGCCAGCGCTCCTCTTGGGCCATCAAGCAAATACATATATACTTTAGAGCCTCCGGCTCAGTCCGCCGACATTGTCCTCTCCCTTTTCTCCGTCTTCCTCTCTCCCTTGTCTCCCTGGTGTGTTCTGTCGTCCTCTCTCCCTCCCTCCGCTCCCCATCCTCCCCATCCCCCCAAGCCACTCTCTCCCCAATCTCCCTCTCTCGTATGTATGTA